GATGACTAGATTAAATTACCATGACGATTTATATTTCTGAGTTAGTCGTTTTATTTCAAAAGTTTTACAACTATCTTCATTCACACACACACTCTCTCTCTATCTATCTCTCTCTCTCTCTCTCTCTCTGCAATTGGTTTTTACTCTATTTCTAGTAAAGAATGCTTACTTTTGTTATTTTTTTTAATCTATGCATTTGAATTATACGACAATTTTTTCGTTTACAGACATTAGAATTCATACACAACGAAGGTAATTGTTTACCGTTGTTTGAAAAGACATACTACGTTAGTTTTTTCTAGAATCCGTCGTCTTCATTGAAATACCACGACAGTTTAAGTTTTTACATTAGGGTCGTTTTTATTTTTTCTGTTTTACAACTTTCACTCACACGCACAACTTTTGAATTACACGACGGTCTTTTCTCCCACCGACGTTAGAATTCGTACACAACAATGGTATTTGTTTACCGCCGTTTGAATAATCATACTACGTCAGTTTTTTAAAGAACCCGTCATCTTCAGTAAATACCACGAAGGTTTAGATTTTTGATTTAGGGTCGTTTTATTTTATCTTCATTTACTCACACTCACACACACACACACACACACTCTCTCTCTCTCTCTCTCTCTCTCTCTCTCTCTCTCTCTCTCTCTCTTTGCAATTGTTTTTAACTTTATTTCTGGTAAAGAATGCTGATTTTCTATGAACTTTTTTTAATTGTGCATTTGAATTATATGACGGTTTTTTTTCTCATGCCGGCGTTATAATTTTTACACGATGACGGTTTTAATTCACCGCCGTTTGAAATTATATATGACGTTAGGTTTGTCAAGAAATTGTCATCTTCACTGAAATGCCACCACGGTTTATATTTTTGAGTTAGTCATTTTATTTTATCCGTTTTACAATCTATTCACTCACTAACATTCTCTCTCTCTCTCTCTCTCTCTCTCTCTCTCTCACTTTTAGGATGAATTTAAAAAACAAGTCTCCGAGGGCACTCTGACTATCTCTGGAAGCAATGATGTTTTGGCTTTGGCTTTGGGAACCCCAGAGCATGGTGGGAGAGTCAAAGGTATTGGAGCTGGGGTTTCCCCAAGTCAATTCTTCGATTTGCCGAGACAACACAAAATAAAGTTTGATGACAAATTGAAGGAAAGTGTTATAGAGGAGTCAGAGAAGAGAGCTTGAGGATGGAGGCTAAGACAAAGGAGAGTGTTTTGGAGGCAGTCGGAGCAGAGAGGGAATATATGTTGAAACATTTTAACTAATTCCCAATTTTGATCACAGCATGCTCAAAACTCCAATTACCCGAATTCCTTTACTGCCTCAAGAGCGAAGCCCCAAAAATCCAATGTTTGACAAAGCAAGCTGCTCGGGTGCCACGAATGTGAGACCCCTTGTTTTGGAGGAAGAAAATCCCAAGCTTGATGCTCATGCTGTTAAACAACAGCAAGATGAAATGATAAATTCTCTGACATTTGCGTTTTTCTGCTTTTTAAATTTTAATTAGACGTCACTATTTTTCATCTCGGACGTTAGAAATTTTTTTAAAAATCCGAAAAATAAACCGACAACTACTATGCACTCATTGAGAGATTGTCTTTCCCCCCAAAGCTTTGAAAAATGTAATTTTAGTTATAAAAATTACAAATGATAACAAAAATCAAAATTGTTTATAGACAAACCACGATAGTGCTTATACTTTCGTAACATAACCCTAAGGTTTATGTGATCCATTGGTGGCCATAAATACAAATATATGAAATCCTGATTTAGCCTGCTAATATAGAATGCATTGTCCTAAGGAGTTCGTAGCAATTTTCGGTTTATTTTTGTCATACTTGTGTATTTTTTTAATTGTTGTAAAATTTAGGGTTTAGGGTAGGGCTTAGAGCACTTCTAGCAGCTGGGTTTGGGGGGGAGGGGGTGGTTTGGGCTAAAAACTGATTCCAGCAGCTCAGGCTGGCCCGAGCTGGAGGTGGGGGCCACGAAGAAGGCTGGCCCAAGGGCAGGTCGAGCCCGAGATCCAAAACGAGGGGGGGCTGACGTCAGCGCGTGGAGTTCAATTTTTTTTTTACAGTTGGCACGTGCAAAATTTGAACTCCGCGCACTGACGTCATCCCTGCACTGCACCAACGGCTCTGAGACACATGGCGTCGTCTGGGAGCTTCGATCGTGATTCTCTCCTCCAATCCAACGGCAGCCAATATTTTTACAATAAAAATATGTAAAAAAATCTGATTTTTTTTATATAAAAAAATACCAAAAAATACTGGAATTTTTTTTTTCTATAAATACCTACCAATACTCTTCACTTTCAACACCAAATCCTCATACATTTTCTTCTACTTCTACTATTATTCACTTTTTTCTCAATATTTTATTCACTTTCAAGTTTTATTTTTCTTTATCATCTTTATGGCTTCTTCTATCGACGGTGTTGGGGCATGGAGCACCATGGAAGATGTTTTGTTATGTGAGTGTTGGGTCCAAATTTCTCATTGTCCCGTCACGGTAACGAGATTTAATTCTTTCAAATGTGGAAAAAAATTGATTCCGAATTTTGTGAAAGATCGGGTTCGACACGTACGGAAATGACATTGTCTAGTAGGTGAAAAATTCTCAATAAAGAGCTGGGCAAAAGCGATGGACAACTGTAGAAGCGGGGAAAATCTTACCGATGAGGTAAATTATTTGTAATTTTTGTTTTATTAATTTTAATGTCCTAATATTTTTTTATAAATGTTTCTTGCATTGTCAATATTTTGTTAATATTTCATAAATACCCAATATTTTGTTAATAGTTCTTGCATTGCCAATATTTTTTAAATGTTTCTTGCATTGCCAATATTTTTTAATGTTTCTTGTATTTCCAATATTTTTTAATGTTTTTTGCACTGCCAATATTTTTTTTAATGTTTCTTGTATTTATAATATTTTTTTATAAATAGATTGTGCAAGCACAAATGTGGTATGGTGCTACTGGGCAAGGAAAAAAATCTTTTAACAAAAAAAATGTTGGGATGTAGTCAAAAATTGCAAACGTTTCAGAATTATTCCCACGGGTCCGACCGTTGTGTTGAACGAGACGCCACTCTATAATTCAACGACATCGAATTTGCCTCTCGATTCCTTGATGAGTGAAGACTCACCCATCCAGAAGGAGCCGAGGCCTATTGGGAGAAAGGCGGCGAAGGCAAAGAGAGGGAGTAATTCTACTAGTAATACATCTAAATTTTTGGAGGAAATTGCAAGGCAAAATGCCTTGAGACTTGAAATAGACAAGAAAAACCAAGAAGATGAGAGGGCATTTCAAGTGGAATATGCAAAAGAAAGGGAGTATACACGTAATCAAAACATTGAGAAGAAGGATTGGGAAACCATGGCCATGGATACAAGCCATATGTCCCCTGAAACAAAACAATTTTGGAAGCATGAACAAAAGGATGTTATGAGACGAAGACTTTTTTGTGACGATGGACCTAGCAACACGGATTGGTTAAATGATCAAAACCATTAAGTTAGTTTGCTTACCTTTTATTTTCATTGTATTTTAATGTTTTGTTTTGAAAATTAGTTGTAATTCATGTATTTTATTTCATTAGTAGTATTGGTTTTATTTGGGTGAATAAAGAAAGTATTCAATAAAATACCTTTTTATTCAAAACATGTTTTGAAGAAACAGTTGATTTTGATGAAAATGGGAATCGAGGAGTGAGCTTTTCATACTTTGTTGATTTTGATTTTCTGAAATTATTAGATATTCATCTGTGGCTGTGCAGGAGCTTGAGAACAAGAGGAAGGAGAGGGCCCAGCTTGCATATGAGAGGAAGAAACAGTTGAACAAGCTGAGGGAGAAGGCAGAAAAGAAACCACGATGTATTTGCCAAATTTGTGTACATATATTGTGTAAATATTGATCAATATTTAAGATGAAAATGTTGTTGAGGATTGAGAATTAAATTTTGTTTTGTGTTAAGAAAGATATTTAATTTGAACTTAGGACGTGGTAAATAAAAACGACAGTAGTGTTGTAGGTACCGTCGTAGTATACTCCAAAATAATAAGTCGGCGGTTTACAGAGAATTCATCGTCGTAGTATACAGACGTGGATTCCATTATATTATACGACGCGGATTTAGAACAGTTGGTCGTGTTTAGTTAGGAGTTCACACGGCAGGTTTTTTGGTGAACTGTCGTCTTTATTTTCTACGTCGGTGGATTCATACCTGCTGTCGTTGTTTTTTGGTCAAATTTTATCTCTGAAGAAAACCTTTTTTAAAAACGACGCTTTTTCATTTGTATGCGTCGTCTTTTAAAAATATTCAACAGTAAGGAACTTATCCACGACGGTTTTTTTTTTATACCGTCGTTTGTTTAAATACAACGACGGTTTTATGTTATGCCGTCGTCTTTTTCTGGTCGTCTTTCTCCATTTTTGTAGTAGTGACATTCCATACATAAAAAACAAACCACATCAAAGCATTAAAAATAAACAAACCACAACCAAAGCATTAAAAAAACAAAGCATAACTAAAAATAAAACATAAACATAATAAATAAAACAAACTTCTTCACTTCACTTCATTCACTGCCCATAAATGCTCTATCAAGTCAACTTGACGTCGTACATGAATATAAGACGATTGCATCTCCGTATATTGATCAATCATACGGGTCATTACACGACTGTCCCTAACCAACGATTCATGCTGCACTGGTTCTCCATTTGGCCCTATGGGTTTTTCATAAATTCTTGTCAAGGTCGTGTTCATTGGATCCAGTTCGTACACGTCTTCAGAATCATAATCATACTCATCCTCCACAATCATGTTATGGAGGATGATGCATGTCATCGTTATGCTCCTCAGCACCTCCTCATCAAACAGACGTGCCACACCCCTAATAATAGCCCACCGGGCTTGGAGGATACCAAAGCACCTCTCCACATCTTTTCTGTACCTCTTTTGATAGATAGCAAATAATTTTTGCTTCTAGGATTGGGGATGCAGAATTGATTTCACAAATGTGGTCCACCTCGGGTAGATGTAGTCAGATAGATAATACCCATTTTGGTAGACTGTATTGTTGATTTGATAGGTGATATTTGGGGCTTCACCTCTCAAAACATCATTGAACACCGGGGATTGACCCAAGACGTTCAAGTCGTTTTGAGATCCGGCAACTCCGAAGAAAGCATGCCAAACCCATTTATCAAAACCTGCAACGGCTTCAAGGATGATACTTTTTTGGCCTTTCCAATTCCCATAATCTCCTTGCCAAGCAGTTGGGCAATTCTTCCACTGCCAGTGCATGCAGTCGATGCTACCAACCATTCCTGGAAATCCTCGAGTTTCGGATTTTTGTAGAAGTCGTTGCAGGTTCCTGGGCGTAGGCTTGCGCAGGTAGTCCCTGGTGTACAGAGTTTCAACTGCATCACAAAATTTCACCAAGCTCTCCAAAGCAGTGGACTTCCCCATCCGGGCAATCTCATCCACCTAATTAGCAGATGACCCATACGCCAACATTCGTATAAACAGCTGTGAACTTTTGTTCGGGAAGAAGTCCCAAATTTCCAGCAGCATTTTTCTTTTGAACAAAGTATTCATCATAATTGCAAATATCATGCATGACTTTATTGAACAAATGGGGTTGCATTCTATGTCGCCTTCGAAAATCAACATCAGAGTACAGAGAAGTTGGGATAAAATAATCTTCCAGAAGATTCTTACCCCGAGAATGTCTATGTCTGTCCACATTCGGGCCACGGCCTTCTCGTGAACCACGGCGGCTCTGGTTTTCTTCATCAAGCAAAGCCACTACTGTGACAATTTGCTGATCTAGTTCTCTCTGCGCCCTTTTGCCTGCAGCTCGTCTATGCCTTCTTTCTCTAGTTTCTCGCATTTGCCTCTCCAACACCTTATTCATGTCTTCCATTGAGAATGGAGTATGAATTCTAAACTCTAAGAAATGAAAATAAAGAGAAGATGTGGTGTGAGAGGTATGAGCTGAGCCTTTGGTTTTATAGAATAATTTAGGCCGATAAAGATGACATGTGGCGCAATTTTAGAGGGTGAAAATCTTATTTGAAATTTGAAATTCATATGAAATTTATATGAAATTTGAAACCGAAAATCTTATCCGAAAATTTTATCCGATTATGAGATATGAATAGTATTGACACGTAGGAACCAAAAAATTTTATCCGAAAATATTGTCCAAATTAATTATTTAGGTAAACAAATTTGTGAAAAAAACAAAAAAATGAATAGTGTTTGCCCTCAGCCATGGCAACTGCTGGAAACCAACATTGCTTTTTGCAAGGGCAGCCACTATTCACATGAAAATTAGCTGCCCTAGCCCCCCTCTTGCCATGCCAAGGGTTTGACTGCTGGAAGTGCTCTTAGGGTTTAGGGTATATTGAAACGACACCGGTTTTCTCTCAACCGTTTTTGGTCAATTACGCCCTTGGTAACACGCATTTGAATCCCAAAAAAACCAAAGCTCACCTATTTATTTAATATTTAAGACGTCGGTTTATTACAGAGCGCTGTGAAAAGTATTTACTACGGCGTTTTATTTAACATACTGACGTTGTAAAGATTTACAATGCCACCATAATTAAAAAATTGTCGTCTTATATCTATATTAAACGACATTTTATTTGTACTTCCGACGTCTTTAAAAAACGCAGTCCTTTGCAATCTAAAATTTGAAGAATTCCCCTTAACTCTAAAACATTTCGCTCCATCTCTTCAACTCAAATTCTAATCTTAAAGTTTTCACTCTCCATCCTCCGTCATATTAGATTCCGCTCTCCCTCTCAAAGCATTGGTTATATTCTCTGAGCTTTTTCTACCTGTAAGTACAAACCCTAATCTCTTTATTTAATGATATTGCGTTATGTCTTCTTAAATCAATAAATGATTTCATTGGTTTTGGTAGCTATGAGTTCTTAATATATGTTTTGGGAGCTATAAATCGGGAATGGAATTTGAAAAACCCATTTAGCGTTTGCATGCTTGTCATAATGACTCTCTGTTATGGGTTCATATATGTTTGGTTAGCCATGGGTTCTTGGAAAATGATTGGGAATTGGATATTTATGTTTTGGGTTTTTGTAACCTACGACGACGGTCGATGGACCAAACCGTCGTCTATATTGTCGTTATACATTGGTATTTCTATTAGTTCCTTTGCATGAAATGTTTTTTTGGGTTTTGGTAGCCTACAGACGACGATATCTCCAGTAACTGTCGTCTTTAGGCTACCTAAACTAGAACATTGTTCTTCAAAAGCAATACAAATTTCTGGATTTAGGTAGCCTAAAGACGCCAGTATCTCCAATAATTGTTGTCTTTAGATTACCTAAACCCAGAACATTGTTCTTCAAAAAGCAATAAAAATTTCTGGGTTTTGGTCGCCTAAAGACGACGGTATCTCCAATAACCATCGTCTTTATGCTACCTAAACCCAGAACATTGTTCTTTAAAAAGCAATACAAATTTCTGAGTTTGGGTAGCCTAAAGATGACAGTAATTGGAGATACCGTTGTCTACATTACTATAACACGACGATCATTTTGTAAATACCGTCGTCTGAAACTTGTTTTGTTTTGTTTTTTTTTCAAATTATTCTCTGCTATGTGAATACCGTCGTCTGTCATTGCTGATCTTTTCACTTTATTATATATATGATTGTATAGTGTGGGAGATGGAAAAGTCATGGATGCATGTGGATAGAAGATCGAATGCATATGAGTTAGGGTGGAAGGATTTTTGAATTTTGTTGTAGAAAATCTTGGAAATACACCTCATATTCATTATCCATGTGTTAAACGTGAGAATATTCAATTTTGGGGTTGGAATTATAAGGGATCACTTATACTTTAATGGAATTGACCAAAGCTATAAGATTTGGACATGGCACGGAGAACCTTGCGAATGGACTACTAATGCTAGTAGAAATATGGAAGAAGATGAGCAAAGTAGGTGCAGTTTGTTTATGAAGAATTGGGGATGGATGATAATGATTTTGGCGATATTGGATCTGATCCTTATAAGTTTGCCAATGTGATTGGAGATGGAGATCAACTATTGTACCCTAGTTGTAGTAAGTACACAAAGTTGTCGGCTTTGGTGAAGTTATATAATTTGAAATCAAAACATGGGATGAGTGATGTATGTTTTACAGAATTATTGATACTTCAAGGAAATTTGCTTCCAAAAGGAAATACGATACCTTCCTCTATGTATGAGGCAAAAAATACTTTATCTGATTTGGGGATGAGTTATGAGAAAATCCACGCATGCCCCAATGACTGCATCTTGTATAGGAAGGATTATGAAGAGTCAACTAATTTTCCTACTTGTGGTATCTCAAGGTGGAAGGAAGGCAAAGATTCAATCTTGAAAGAGGGTGTGCCAGCAAAGGTGGTGTGGTATTTTTCACGAATTCCAAGGTTTAAAAGGATGTTTCAATCACGTAAGACAGCTAAGAGTTTGACTTGGCGTGCTGATAGAAAATCAATTGACTGTCATATGCCTCATCCAACAGATTCCCCATCTTAGAAACTTGTTGATGATAAATGGCCCGAGTTTGGTAAAGAGTTGAGAAACTGGAGATTGGCTCTCTCATCTGATGGATTCAATCCCCCCAGTTCTTTAAGAAGCAGAAACGAAAGTTCCATATAGTTGAGAAACTGGAGATTGGCTCTCTCATTTGATGGCCAGTTATCTTAGTTACATATAACCTCCCACTATGGCTTTGCATGAAACGAAAGTTCATGATGTTGACCTTATTGATACCCGGTCCTAAACAACTCGGAAATGTTATAGACGCCAGCCTTTGATTGATGATTTAAAACACTACTACAAAAAGTGCAAAAAATGACCATAAAAAGACGACGGTAGAACAAAATACCGTCGTTGTGTTTAGAAAGACGACGGTAACAGAAAACCGTCGTGGACAAGTAACTTAAACAACTAAAAAATGGAGGTCAGCTTGAGTATTTTTTAAAAATGACGCACCCCAATGAAAAAGCGTCGTCTTATTAAAATGGTTTTCTTCAGAGTTAAATTCTGACCGAAAAACAACGATAGCATGTATGAAGCCATTGACATAGAAAGTGAAGACGTCGGTTCAACAAAAAAGCCGCCGTGTGAACTACTACATAAACACGACCAAATGTTCTTAGTGAGTGACATATAATATTATGGAATCGACGTCAGTATATTATAAAAAAACGACGTGTTAAATCAATGTACCATGACGCGGAAGATATATTTAACGACTTATTACTTGGGTGTGTACTACAACGGTACCTACAACACTATTGTCGTATAGAGTAGTAGAGAACAACGACAATAGAGGAGTAGATAACGACATCTAAATTAGAATATCCATGTCATATTTATAAAATATCAAAACGTAATTACCACGTCGGTTTGTTCAATTAGTGATGTATAATATTTATTTACCATGTCCTGACGTTAAATTTACCGTCGTATTTATTCAATTCATACGTCTGTCTTCTCTGTAAACCGCCGTCTTAATTTTTAGTATTTTTAAGGTTTTTTTTTTTGGTAGCCTACGATGGTTGATCTACAAAATGACAAGAACTGAGAAAACCGTCGTCACATGAAAATTAAAATGAGATCCCAAGAGGAATGAAATCTTACCATTGAGATCTTTGGATCTTGATCTTACCAAAGTGACGTTGAAGTGGTTTATACTGACCACTTTAGCTTCTATCCATTTGAAATCTGAAATGTATAAGAACCTAAAGAGTTCAAATCAGATTTCAAATGGATAAGAAGCTAAAGTGTCCACTATAAACCATTTGTCTTTCAGATACACAAACCATCGTGATGTGAGACAGAGCCAAGGGCAAGAAGAAGTTGGAACCCTAATTAAAAACTGAGAGTTAAAAAACGCGTGAAAAAAATCATATTTATACAAATTATGTTGAATATCCACGTCGGTTCTATTACATGTAGCGACGTCAAATTTATATAATAATTGTCGTTTCGTAATAATTGCAGACGTCATTTCCGTAAACTAAGGCCAACGCCTTTTAAAATCAACAACGTCGGTTATGCATAAAATGACGACGTGGTAACATGTAATACCACTTCTACCAAAGTAAACTTTTGAAATACAACAGTGGTTTAAATAAACAAGCATCGTGATAACATATACTATCAGGTCATCAAAAGTAAACTTCTGTCGTGTAAAACTTAAATAACCACGTCGGTTTCGGAATTCCAAAAGTCGTTTGGCTTTTTTAATAACCACGTCGGTTTCTACTTATTGTACGTCGTTATAACTACATACTAGGGCGGTTTTTAATAAAACCGTTGTTGTATTGAACTCTGGGAAAATATATAAACTTTTTCGTCACCTGACCTAATGTTCTACGTTCTCTCTCACCGATAAAATATCTCAGTTTCCCTCTCATTTTCAAAAAGCAGCTTCGTAAGCATCATCATCTGAATCTCGTCATCGCCATCGTCTCCAAATCACCAAAGTTATGTCGGAAGGAAACTTTCTTTGCACGCCAAAGGTTTTTTCTCAATCTCTTTTCTCTTTTTTCACTTTCATTTGAAGAGGGTTTTGAAAAAACGAGTCTGGAAACAAGACTCCGTCAAAATGAGGAAATCTTTCACTGGTTTGATTAAATTCATTAGTCCATTACTCTCACGACGCCCGAAGACAACAATTCTCTCTTGTTTGCGACATTAGAATCGACACACCACGACGGTTGTTAAATCAGACCTAATGTAAATTGCATGACGGTGGTTAATAACCGTCATGGTGTGATAATTAATACGTCGGAAACAAGATAGAACTGTCGTCTCATGGGAGAAAGAACTGGCATTTTTCCTGTATCACATCTCAGAAAGACGACGGTTGTATTTTGTGTTTGACGTTGTAAT